GGCGGTTTGGGTCGCCGGCGCCGCAGTGACTGGGGACGAGCCGCTCTCCTTTCTTCCTAGGTGCCTGTTATAACTATCGACCGCATCCCAGACCCTGCCTCCACCTGGCAGCTCACCAAGGAGAGCAGCTTCGCGCATAGCCCAGGCAAGCCCCCGAGAAGGTAGCGTTCTCCGCTGGGTTTGCGGTGTGTGAGCTTGCTCTTAAAGTTAGTCACCACGTTTGCCACGGGAGGGCCTAGGGAGCGATGGGTCCTGCGTGTGCCAGGCAGTGGGGAGGCGGTTGGACGGACAGGGTGTAATCCCAGGGAGAGTCGGGGGGGAAGGGCCTGCTCTTTCCTGTGGCGTCTTAAGGCCATCTTCTTTGCCACGAGCTGGCAGGGAAACGTGGGCCCGGAGGAGCGCCCGCTGCAATTCTGGCCGCCAAAAGGTCAGGGACCCCGGCTAGGCTACCAAGCCTCACTCTCGTTTCTGTCATTTCCAGAAGGGAGTCGTCCTTGGTGAAGAGCAGAAACCTGTGTGTAAGGGAAAGCTACAACGCCCTGGGATTCACATCCTGCCCCCCGGGAGCGCCCCCAAGCCGAACCAGCTCTCTGGCGACGTCTCCCTGCAGGCAGAGCTGTGCCTCTCGCAGGACCCAGCGGGTAAAAGCGCAATCTCGGCTGTCTCCCTGGGCCGCCGGGGAAAGCAGGCCCTCCAAGCGGGGGCGTGGGTTGGTTGTACAAAGCTCTAGCTCATCCCTAGCGTAAGGGGCAGCCCCACACCGCCAGGAGGGAGTCCCCCCCTGGAGTAACGGACGGACTCAGGCGTGAATGTGGCCTGTAGGGTTCTCCCATTTCTAAAGCCCAGGTGCTTATGACTGTCTCCATGTAGGTTCACCTGCTTTTCACCCCCCGCCCTTGCGAGTGATGGGACAGGCGCCTCCTACACCTGCGGATGGATGAGATCATGGTGGGGCTCACCCTTAATTGGCCCCTGCCTGGCAGGCCAAGCTCAGGCGTGGCTGAGACTTCCCTGAATCACACCGGGGCTGACTCAGCTCTTCCCCCTGCAGGAGTGGGTGTGCCGGGCTGGGAGGCCCTCACCCCTTGCCAGAGTCCCCGACGTTCTGCTGCTTCCGGAGCATGGGCCCTCGCCGGCTGGCAGGACCTTGCTTGCCCGGGAGGCCACGCGGTAGAGGATACCGTGTGGATGAGCGCCCCGGCTCGACACGCCTGGCGGCACTGCAGCCTGCGCGTCACGCCGGGATCCCCCGTCCCGCACCAGACAAAGCCACGCTCGGCTGGGTCTCCATACCTGGCTGGGGACCAACCCACCCAACAGGGACAGTCCGCTTTGAAACCGGACCGGCGGCTTGCCCTGCTGTGTGCTCCACGCACCGTGGGTCTTTCCGATGAGCCCTGCTGCTGCGCTCTTTGAAATACCCCATTGCCCTCGGCCATCGGCCCCTTCCCCCACATGGCTGGGCTATGCCAGTTGTCCCCACCCCAGAAGTGGCTGCATTTCAGAGGTCTTGCGTGCACACCGGCTTTACAGTCTGACTGGTTTGGTCTCTCTCGCTCCTGCTGCTGTCCTGGCCAGGTTGTTGCTTTTCGGATTAGACTCAGATTGCCCGTCCTGGGGCAGGGATCGCCGCCGTTGTGTTTGGTGTTTGCACCGCATCTCGCACGGTGGGGAGGGAGGGGGCTAGTCCGTGTTTGGGAGCACGCATAGTGGCAGTCCTGGAGGAGGCAGGACAGAGGAAGCTGCCCCAGCGTAGAGCCTGCTGTGATTGCAGCAGGGGTGACGGACGAGGACAGCGCTGCACCGACTTACTAGGGCGTTCTCTGACGAGCAGCCCTGAGCAGGGAGCATCTGTCCTGGGTGGGGGTCTGGCTGTACCTCCCCCCCTCCCCCGGCACGTCAGCCAGCCTCTGTCTGGGTGAGGCCAGGCACGGCCCTGCCTCCCGCTGCTACCAGGCTGCTCCGGGCTCGGGCTGAGCTGGGATCAGGGTCGTTCTCTTGGCCAGTCCCAGGCTGCCCAGCTGCAAAAGGAGAAGGCAGGTGCCCAGCCCGAGATCTCCTGCTCTGACTGCCCCCAGCCCCTCACGGCGAGATGGGGGATGCTTGTGGGCTCGGCTCCGGGAGGGTCACGGGCGTGGGCTGCAGGAGGCAGGCTGGATGACCACCGTGGTCCCTTCTGGCCTGACAAATGGATGGGGCGCCCATTCCCCGGACGGCAT